TGCTTGCGTTGATTGCACTATTTGCATTAATTGCTAAAGGCCTTCTGTCTCCTGTAGAGACGTTGCCAATTAAGGCTTAGTCGGCAACCACGTGCTAACTGACACCAATTAAATTATTTTGTAAGTTTAACTCTTTCATCCGTACTTTTTCCACCTATACTTTCTTGCTCATATCTTGGACCAAATGATGTGAAACTATTATTTTTTCCTAAAAGTTTAGCAATGCCTATCATACAAACCTTTTTGATGCTCTCAACTATTCCTTTCTGTCATTTTAATTTGCTTTTGTGAATTTTTGTGTCACACTAGACTTATTCAAAATACAAACATAGACAGGTATGAGCTGAGCTCCAATACATACGCGCAGTCTGTCTACACACTGTGAAATATTATCATTCAATTATTTAATAGTTGTAGTAGTTTTTTTCCTACTTCAGTATTGTCTTATTTAATTAGAGGAAGCCTTTATCTGATGGGATCGAATGATTTTAGCTCTCGAGCTTTTCCTACTTTTACCCAACCTGTACACTATTATCCCCTTTGCCTTGCTCTAACTTAATTAACTCCACACACACTCACACTCGCCATTCACGGCTCATATGTAGACTGCAATCTCGGCTCAGGTTCGTGCCATGGAATCGCGACGCTTGGAAGGTGGGTCACTGTCTGGTGCCTCCCTGTAGTCAGTCGATCAGTCTGCTCAGCCTGTCCAACAATACCGGCATACACACTTACTTTTATGAGGTTCTGGCCCGCTTCAATCAGCTCTATCGGCGAAAGGTAGAAAAATTTGACGTCCTTTACCTTGCTCATTGACTTCCATGGTCTGTAATTTTTTTTTAGACAAATTTCCTTCTGCAATAATGCTTATCTGGCCTTTTGATTTTAACCTTCATTTCAACGTATTAAACTGTAAGACTAGGGCTCAGTTTCAAAATTCCGCCTCTTGCCGATTGTCAAGGTTCTGAATGTCTGCTGAATTAGCCTTCTAAATTGGGATGCTAGGTCCGGATTCGGCTCGCGAAGCACCCAAAATGAACGACGGCGGGGCCAAGTATGATGGATAAGTTGGCGACGGCCGTCTACTTTTTGTGTTCTTGAGTGGAATTCGTTTATTCCTATAGACGAATAGAAAGAAAATCAGTCAATGCAAGTTGGTTTCTTCACGTGGCCCTTAATAGCTATCGTCAATTGAGATGATTTGTAGACAATGTTGAGCTGACTTTTGTTTGGTGAAGAAATTAGTGTGTCTCCCGAAGTTCGAATTCACTTGGACGTTCAGGCGAAGGCATTCTTCGAGCTTGATTGCTGGAACCGAATGAGGGTCTTTCGAAGTCTGCAATGGCTTAAATGTCCCAATAGAGATGAACTATCACTTTTCCATACACATCTTCACACGAAATGAAATCATCGAAAAATATTTATCCATCATGCTCAGAAGATCCATATTGGCACGGTTGGCCATTTTAGCTTCAAGGCACTGGCGGCTCGTCTGCCAACAACACACGCCTGGCATAATTTACTTGCAAAACGGACAAAGTTCTCGACCCGAGGATATCAGCTTTGCTTCTGCCACAGCTGCTTAGTGGGTGAAATTCCAACGAAATCTGGAAAAGTACTAACTTGTAGAGCATATGGTATACTCAAATTCTTTGGCATTATAGTCTTCTCTTCATTTCCTTATTGGAGAATAGCACCACTCTGCCAGTGTCAAGGATGCTTGTTGAGCTTCAATAGTCTATCGTGTCCATTTAGTTAAGATACTTTGCCCAGATACGATTAATTTTGACTAATGGAGCTCATTAACACTTTTTAAAGCGGTAAGTTTGAGAGCACTTCAGCCCCTTTTTTGTCCCTCGTCACTTGGCGGTCTTTTAGCCTCGACTTTATAGGTTGCAACGCCTTAACATACTTAATGACGATTTCTCTCATCGTATTTTGTCTGTTCCATCCTCCATCTGGATTTAGGCTCACCTCCACCACTACACACGCGTGGAAGGATTCGAGACTGACTGGTTTCTCACAAGCAGCGAACAACTCGCCAGCCTAGCAGCCGAATATAAAAGTCTTGAGAGACAAGTTGAACAACCGAGAGACCTCCAGGTCGCTCGGATTCAGATTGCCGAATGAGCAGACCCGGCAGCTCCAACTCGCTGCAGCCTAACTTGCTTCGATTTCTCTTAGCTCATGTACATACCATCTGATTTTATATCCCTCTGATGCGTGCTTACTACATCTCATCTTCACAGCATACTTTTCACTATACAATTAGACGGCATACGGCTAAAGGTATTCTCCTCGAGACTGGCCTATGATATGTTGTTCAATGGTCAGGTTCTACTACTTACTGTCTGCGACCATTCTCTACCCTCTGGGCCCACTTGCCTACGAGGAATTCACCAAAATGTAGGCGGCGTAGCCTCTATTGGCGAATTGTATATTGGCAGTAAACGATAGATATCTTTTTTTTCTCCTCTTCATTATGCTAATGGAATTCGCACAGGATTTTACCATAGACACGAAGTCGACAGTCATTTCCAGGAGTTACAGATGGCATTCTCGTTCGCTTCTCAATTTGTTAAGAACCCGTATAGGGCTTAACTTACGGGACGTAATACTGTCGCCTGTGCTTCAAACCCACCTTGATGAGATGTATTTATCCTATTTCGTTTGAGATGATGAAGGACTGGTAGTTGAATTTTCCCACATTCATATGAGTAGACCTCACGTTTTAATTGAATTTCACATAGCCTTGCTTCCCAAAAGCTATTCCCATTTCGGCTGGACTGGACCGCAGTTTCGACTCCGCCTGCTCGGACCTCATCAGCACCCCCAGCGGGACACGAACCATCACAATGCAGCGTATAATCTCGACAAGTTTACTACTACGTCACATTGCCACAAATGCTCTTTGTCCATAGGGCAGATATGAATTCCAAGAAAGGTCAGGCGTTTTGTCATATCACATTCTGTGGTGGGATTACTGATAAAGCAAAGTTGTATTCTTAGTTGACTGCATTACTTATCATTCGTTCCATAAGCTTAACTAAATAGGGCAATATCTATCTACTTGTAGTCTTGAAAGCCTACTTGTATATTTGCTACAGCAAATACAAATTTGCTTCATCGAAAATCCTACCGCAGAATGTGTCATGGGAAAGGGCCTGGCCTTCTTTGATATTCACA